AATACTATACAAATTACAAAGTAAATAAATATTTACAAATTATAATAATAAAATTTAATTTGAAGCAGAAGGATCGTCTTAAAAATTAAAAGTTAATCTATTAAATTTGTCGATCCATTCTTGGCTTGCCGGTGAGATTGTGTCGTGTAAGCGTTGGTCGGAACGATCCCAATCCTTGATACACACCAAAGCTTCAACAATATCCTGTTGCAATGCGCTTCTTCGTTCTTCAAGTATTCGGCCGGTTGTACTGAATACTTGTTCGGCTGCAACAGTGGATACTGGGATCGAAAAAATATTCATTGCTAGTCGTGTTAGGATCGGACAAGTTAATGCTCGTGCCCTCCACCACTGAACCAAATCAAACATTTCACTATTGTCTACAACTAAGCCTTCACTTAGGTACGCCATTAACTCGTTGAAGCCGCCATTGTTCCCGCCACCTCTTGATGAAGATCCACTCTCAGATTCTTCTTGACCTTGAATCGTCGCCGTCGTCTTCTTCTTCTTCTTCTTAGACAACCCGAAAACATTCAAGAATGAATGCGGATTGTCGTCTCGTTGTTACGGTTCTTCTACACGAGGTGTGTTTCTAAACCTACTTTCATAAGAGCTATAGAGAGAAAATATTTTTTCCTTTATAATAGGAAATTGGTCAGTAGTGTCGATAGCTAAAAAGTCACCTAAGTTATCTAATCCACTTTCTAAACCATCTAATTCTAATCTAGGGTCGAAAATAACACCGAAACCATACAACATTGGTAATTTAGACCAATATTTTTTAAACTTCTTTTCCATAGAGGCAATAGGAACTCTTAAAACCTCGTGTGTCCTAAATTCACTAAATAAAATAGACATTCTTAAAAGCTCTCCTAACGCTAATGGTGACGTTGGGTAATAAGTTCCACTAAGCGTTAAAGTAACTTCGTGAAATCTACCTAAAAAGTTAAACAAGAGTTCGGCAATTTGCCAATCAGTTTCATCTATAAATTCTGCTCCTAATTTTGCACTAACATAATTTGTTATAGCATCTTTATAGGGGATGCATTGTTCAAGCATTATATAAATGGAGTTCCATCTTATAGGCATATCTAAGGCTAATGTTCTAGGATTTTGATTACATGCTTGTAGAAATCTAAACCAATCTTGTATTCTTTGATTACTACCTTAAATCCAAGTAATGTTATCTCTAATTCTTTTAATATGGCCTGACATTGATTTTAAACCGGATTTTACTATTAAATTAATTATATGACATGCACAACGTTGGTGAAAAATATCATTATTACTAAATAAACTTAAATCATTTTCAAAAGGTTCTATTGCTTTGGTATTTGCAGTTGCATTATCTAATGTTATGGTCATTATTCTATCTCTTAAACTATATTCATCAATGACAGATAAAATTGTGTTATATATTAAATTGGCAGTGTGTGATCCTATAACACAATTAAAACCTAAGATTCTCTTATCCAAATCAAAACCTTTATAATAATGTCCGATTACAGCTAAATAATCCTTATTGGTAACGGCGGGCCAAATATCTGCCGTTAACGCAACGCAACCACTAGTAGAGTGTAAAAGGTTGATTAATGCTTCCTTTTCTTGTTTATATAATTTTAATGCATCTTTCCTAAGAGTAGTTCTAGAAAAAAATTGTGCATTAGGATTATGTACAATTTTAATATAACGCTGCCAATTCCTTTGTTCAGTAAAACTAAGTGGTTGATCTAATGTGGCTACTAATCGTGTCATTTCCATACGATCAACTTGCGGATCGTATTTCCACATGCTTAGACTGCCGGTTTGGCAGTCAAACGATAATTGTGTTTGACGAAGATCGGCTCCGCCTCCTTGCTTTAGAAGACACTTTTTAGAGTGTCTTCTCAAGTGTGTAGTGCCGTGAATAGTATTACCTTGTAATTTATCACCACAATATTTGCATTGAGCTGTGTATTTAATGTTACCGTTGTTGTCGACCTCCTCGAATGTGTTGAAGTGCTCCTAAACTGCTAAGGTGTGCTTGCATTTCTTCTTAGAACTTGCAACACTTGCACTAGCACTACCACTTACCTCTCCTCCACGCCCACCAGTGCCACCACCATTACGTCCACGACCTCTAGTACATCCACCAGGGCTCGGATTTGCAGTTTCCTCAACAACTCTTTCCGTAGTTTGCGATTCTTGCGTTTGAAAAACATTAGGAAATTGCCCTTCTTCGATGTTGAATTGGGCATCAATGGGCATATCACCACCATAACCAGAAGAAGCCATTATGAAAAATAAGATTGAGAGCGCTTTGAGAGAAATTAAGAGAGATCGAGAGAGATTTAAGCGAGATTAAGAGAGATTTGAGAGAGATTATGAGAGATTAAAAGAGAGATTATGAGAGATTAAGAGAGAGGTTGAGAGAAATTGAAAGAGAATGAGAGTTTTTTGGTGAGGAAAATGGTTGGGGGAGGGGGGTATTTATAGGAAATTCCAAAAATTTCCCCAAAAAATTTGGTCCCAACAGCTAAGTGGAATTCGGGCATTCAAGTCGGGTATCGGGCAAACCGTGCAAAATCGGGCAATGGTCAAAAAAATAGCCGTTGGGGTTTGAAATTTTGGCCAAAATTCGGGCGGCGGTCGGGTCGGGCAAAAAAGATCCGTTGGGTTCAAATTCAGGCTAACGGTAAAAAATTTTCAGGCATATTCGAGCAATGGGCGAAATTCGGGCTAACGGTCAAAAAACATTTGGGCAAAATTCGGGTTACGAGGGAAAATTCAAAAAAAAATCCGGCAGGCGGCGAGGTCAACTTCTCCACCGGCGGCGGGCAGCCGGAATGGATTTTTTTGGGCAGCCCGAGCCCGTGCCCGACCAAAATACTCGGACGGGCGGCGAATGGCACCTGCCTGCCGTGCCCAAAAATTTTTGGGCATCGGACATGCCCGCCACTTAAAGTTTCACCACTGGGTGTGTGTGCTTACAAGAGAGGTGCAAAAAATTAAGAAATGGTGCACCAACAAAACCGCTCCAAGCATAAACTAAGCACACAAACAAAAGTAATTAGGTATTGTTCTTTTCACAACTCAAAACACAACTTAAATTTTTAGGCATTATTCTTTTCACAACTCAAATTACAACTTAAATTTTTTATGTGAGAGAAAGTAGCAAAAAGTTGAATTTGAAATTTTGTGAGAGAAATTAATTTTCTCTCACAAAAATTCAAATTCTACGTTTTTACTACATTGTTTTCTCTTAAATAAAAAACTTAAATTGTGATTTGAATTATAAAAAAACACACCTAGGTTCATAGGTTGTCAATTTGTCATCTCTCGTCTCAACAATGCTAATTTTGATACGTCTTTGAAGTACTAAGCCTTAATTAGAAAAAAATTATATTCTTCTTTCTTTAAAAAAAAATAAATCGAAAAAGAACACAAGCAGCAAAATAAGTGGCATGCACATTTTGCAGGTCTGCTCAAATACAAATAAGAAACAGATGTACCACTACACATCCGGACTTGCCACGATTGGGATGTAAAATAGGGGTAGGCTCTATGTAGAGGCCACTCCTTTACTCTTATCACAACTCACTCGAGTGATAATGTTTAGGATTTTCAACAATAAAATATTTTCTGTTTTGTGTCTCCAATGAATATTGTTTTCTGCAAGTTTCTTTCCGCAGACTCAAATATGCAAAACAAATTCCCAACAGTTATAAAAGAAATAAGAATACCACATACGCATATGCAAAGAAGCTCATTAGCTTTTAACGTTTCTATACATATGATCAACTGAACAACAACTATGCCAAAACGACCCCAAATTAACCCACTCTCCTATACAAAAACCATATTACATATATCTGCAGTAGTGTATATATATATATATATATATATATGATATATATAGATTTTGCCGTTCAGGACAGGTCAAAGTTGGGAAGAAAGTTAATTCTAGTCTCTCTCTCTCTCTCTCTCTCATATTTTCTTATTTTCTAACTACATCATTTTCCTTTTGGTTGCTTATGTTTTGTACATGATTTACTATGTGACAAACACGCCCATGGAATGTCAAAACTCAAAAACATTACGACAAAGTACGAAAATGCTTGAAAAAAGAACGTAAATTCTTTAATAGTATTGTTCTATTGATAAACAATGTTTCATTCTTATAAATACCATAAAAAAATTTCAGCAATAAAAGAAAAAAAAGAAACATAGAAGAAAGCGATTATACCTAAGCAACAACATAAAAAATATGTTATTTTAGTTCTTAAGTGAAAGAATGAGGTTAGGAATATCACCAACTTTAATTTCATTTCGCTAGAGCAACTCTCAATTATTATTCTTTTATTGGTAATTGTGTAAAATGTTGTTACATTATTTAACAATAAGATATTAAAATGATCGATGAAAAATGACAATTCAAAATTGATATAAATTAAACGTTAAATAAAAATCGGTGTCCCGAACACTCTTCAAAATGAAAAAAGTTACTCTTTGACCAATTCATTAAAGCCAAAGCATGAGCGTTTAAGAACCAACATCGGTGTGCATGCGTCCTGAATATATAAGAATAATGAATAAAATTCAAAAAAAAAAAAAAGTCTAGTAGAAACTACTGTAATTTCTGCTTTAGCTAGTAAAATATTTCAGTTTTCAAAGGTGCGATCCAAATAAACCGGCACACAAAAGTCAGTCACCTTCGGACTTGTTCTTCTAGAAAACAACATGACAAATAGGAGAGAATTTGCTTGCACGTCAAAAAGTTAATGACAAACTGTGCTTTCTAGAACCTCATAATGCTTCCAATCACAAAGTGATAGTTTCGTCGTGAAGAAGGAAACTACCCGTGCTTCGTAGCTAGGGAATATGCCGATTGTTGGATCGCAATTCGTCTGATCCTAATTCAACTTTACTGAACAAGAGATTAAGATCAAACAAGCAAATTAGTCAAGAGCGTTAAGGAAAAAAAGAAAGAAAAACAACAACAATATATATATATGATGTGGATATAGATATAGATATGTTAAAAGTCACATCTAGTGGACCAAACCCAACAATTAAGTGAAACATAAAACATATTTTAACCTAATGAGGATAAGACTATTGACTGTTTCCAATGGAACGTCATGAAAAAAAACCCTTTTGTATACTCTCCTTTTGCACAGAAGGAAAATTATCAGTGATAATGTTGTCAATATCCTCCCCTCTCAGAGCATAGGTACTGTGGCTGCAACCTTGAGTCAGATGGATATGCATCCCCACAAAGTGTGTTGTCAAGTCCTGCAAGCAATGTAACTGGTGATCATGTAGAATAACCAAACGTCGGAGAACATGTTTTCGATCACGACACGTCGAGTGCATGACCTACCATGTCATGTTTTGTCTTGGAAAGAAACAGCTAGAAATCACTCAGGAATTTAGGTGGCATTCTCTGTGAACTCAACATGTAAGTAAAAGTTGTGTCCAAAACATGTATGGTTATACCAAATTGCGGAACTCAAAAGAAGAAACATCTCTCTGAAGTAAAATACAGTCTTGAGCACACACATCTAATGTGCGCAAAACATGACATTTTTTTACCAAAATATAATGAGTTCTGTCATGGCCTTATTAGAAGAAGAAACGTAAGTTCACTGAAATGGGCACCAGAAATATTCCAAAAACAAAATTTTCTAAAGACTTAATTTAAGACCTCTGCCGGTCCAATAGTAGAAGAAAGATATATAGAGTTTTATGGCATAGACGCAATGCGTCATCTGTAGAAACTGCTTACAAAATAGTTAACAGAAAAAAGACTTTGCCAAACTAAGTCACCAAAAGTGCAGCTACTACCAATTAAGGGCACTTTTTAGTTTTCATGAATGAGAAAGATAAGAGGAGTGTTTCCCCTTTCTACCTATTCCCGTGTTTACTTACAACAATAATTTCAACTGTGGTGGGGTCAACACGATATAGGAATTGAGAAAGGAAAACCCAGTCCTGAGAAATCTTGGTTTTGTTTTCCGTTTGAATTGGAACAAACCACAAGATTTCTTTTATGGCCATACTGTTTCAACTAATAGTTATAGGCACGGCAACATTTTAGCGACATTTTAGTTCTCAAGATATTAGGATTTCTATTCCCAAAATTAGTAAACACTAGAAAGTGAATTAGATTATACAATTCTGCTTCCTAATATGTAAATAGACACCAAGAGAAACAATGATTGCATTTCTTGTTTCTTTTCTTTCTTTTTAAAGAACTTCTCCATTCCCATTATATTTAATTACAGTTTTTACAAAAAAAACACGCCCCAAATATACAAGCCCTTATGATAATGCCACTAAAAGGTGTTTGCAGCAACCACCAACAACAAAATTTTGGCTGAAACGCACTCTTTCAATTACTGAAAGCGAACCATTTATTTGGTACTTTGGCTAGAGGAATGCACAACACTAGTGCAGCTTTAAACAGGAACCAACTTATTTGCTTATAAATGCATTTCGAAGTAATCTACTAATGGTGAGAACGAAATTTATTTGCAATAGTTTAGAATTAGATTGCTTACCATCTTTGCCCGAACTCTGTTCCATGTCAACATGTTCTTGTCCTGGCCGTATCATGCCAGACGATTCACACTCCTGGGAAGGGTTGCCTATTGACATGGAATACGATTGAGGAACATAAAACGAATTATCACTGGTTGTCTGCTTCTTAGCCGATGAAGATTCGGCCGTGGAGCACAAGTCTTCATCTGCTCTCGAGGTCCCAGCCTTTACCAGATTTTGTGAATTATCGGGTATTGGCGGCTTTTCCTCTTGTATACTTTTGGATCTCTTCCTATTAGGTGTGTTGTTATTTGCATTGTGGAATGAGGGAACCCTCTGATCATTCGATGAAACAGTATGACATGGTGCCCTTCCCTTTAAGACCACCTTTGGGATGGCTGAACTTTCTATACGATCTGAGTTGTCGACGACTTCTTCATCCGTGCCATTTGATTCAGCGGACTTTGCTGCTGCTTCCAGTTCCCACATCCTCATTATAGCCTCGGTCAAACGTTCCCTAGCCAAATCAATCTCAATTATAGGTTTTGGATAGTTTAATCCCAGCTCTACTCCTGAAGCTTTAAGCACAGATTCTGGTGCATCCCATGGATGATGAATCCACTCAGTTGGCAATCGCGCTAGCTCAGGTAGCCAATGCCTCACATATTCCCCTTCTGGATCAAATTTTGAGCCTTGAAGCTAACACCAATATTTCAGAAAAACGAATAAGAATGAGGGAAAATAGGGCACAATCTTTGTCACGAAACATCTAAATTCTGATCATTGTCTCCAATGCAGACACTATGAAGTTAAAAACATGTTATTTCCCTCTTAAGTTAGCTAACTTTCTTATTCCCAAACATGCAAGAAAGAATTTTAAGATTCACCAAACCTTGCATTAGAAGTCGCAATTTTGATTTCAGTATCCTTGTACAGATTTCAAATGTTATGCAAGGCACAATAAATTTAAGCCTGCAGGAATTTCCAAGGACTAGCTCTTTTAACAATAGGGAACACCTTGAGCTTTGAAATATGAAGAATCCAGATATAAAGACGCGAAAATCAAAGTTTAAGGTGACACACCCTAAGAAAGAAACTTTCAAAGGAAAAAAAAAAGGAACGTAAGTTAGATGTGGTTAGAGTATTAAGATGTTCTCCATAATAAGGATTCAAGTGATTTTGAGTATAAATGTAGTGGCATTAATCAATAAACAGAATAACAATTTCAAACCTCTGGACTATCCAAGCGCTCAAGTTCATGACCGTCTGGTAAGCTTCCTGATATATACTGCCAACCCAGGATATCACTTTCCAAGTCTGCATCCAAAAGAGTATCCCAGAAATACTTCATCCCCCATCTCCAAGGAATAAGAAGAACTTTCACTGAGAAACTTGAAACAATCACTCTAATCCTGTTGTGTATCCACCCAGTTGCCCAGAGCTCTCTCATTCCGGCATCAACCAATGGATAGCCCGTTCGACCCTGTCTCCAAGCCTTAAAATGAGCAGTATTCGGTTGCCATGGGAAAAATTTCAGGTTGCTAAGAAGCGATCTCTCATGGGTGAATGGGAAATTGAAACAAAGATAACGAGAATACTCTCTTAGACCGATGGCCCTAAGAAAAAAGTTCACACTCTCTTTCCCAGTGGAGTTCCCTTCCTTTGTCCACAGTATCTGCTTCATTCTAGCAGATTGGAATACCTTTCTCACACTTAATTCCCCGAAATGAAGATATGGAGACAAAAGTGATGTATAGTTTCCTCCAACTTTTAGCCTATTCTTTGAATAGTTGAGAAGGTGCTCCTCAATAAACTCGGTTAGAGTATTATCTGCACTGCTCCAACCTGGAGACCAGGCTCTTCCTAATAAGGCATTGCTAGCTTTTTCTGACTCGTCTTCGAGACTCAATTCGTTGATTGAACACTTTGCAATTGTTCCTATCAGTGACACCACAAAACCATGTCTCAACTATTTGTCTTTTACATCTTCTGTTTTTTTTCTTTTGCATACAAGCTCATACATACGCATGTAAAGGTTTTAGGTCCGGAATTAGGTAGGAAACAATGAGGAATGACCCTTCTTTTCTATTGAAAAATTCTATGGAAAGAAGCACGGATATATAATTACTGCATTGATGAGAAAAATACCAGAAAGATAAAGATACTTTGAAAGTGTACCTGTAGTTGGTATCAATTTCCATGGAGGAAGAAGCGAAACAGGTTCCATTGGCATTTGAAAGCACTTCTCCCAATATGCCTCAAAGGTTGTAAATGCAAGACCCTTATCATCATATACTTCCCATGGCTCAAACAGCAGATCTCCATTGTAGCTTTGCACAGAAATACCTAGCTCCACAAGCTTTTCTTTAACGTTGTGATCACGAACAAGCGAAACAGGATCTGGATAGACAAAAGCGATAACTAATAGGCGCGCAAGAGACATAAAATCTATGAACTTTGAAAGATCTCAATTGCAGACATGCAGTGACTCTGTAAGAAGTAAGAAATGCGTATAAAATTGATATTGATGATGTAAGCCCATCCACCGAAAAATTAAGGATCCCAACTATCCGAATTGCTCGATCAAATTGCCTCGTCAAAACACCCCATTAAACCAAGGACCAATTTGGTTTGCTGTTTGAACGACAATCCAAAACCTTTTTGTTACAGTGTTTGATCTTACAAAAATTCAAACTTTTGTTTAAACCTATTCAAACCTTTGAACCAGACAGAAATATCCCGTACTTTCATACAAAAGAAATTGAAAGCTAATGAACATTAGAGCCTCACCAAAGATGGTAAAACACAAAAATGAATCCAATTATGACCTTTAAACTCAACTAAAACGCATCATATGTGTGTTTCAAGTGTAATGACGCTACTTTAAGAAAAGGAAACAGAACATACCATAAAGATGGTTAAACACTACTTTGGTAGCCCCAGTGGCTTTGATGCACTCCAAAAGAGCCTCCAAAGTACTTTGGGTCTTGATTAGCACAAGCTCAGCCCCAAGGGATTTCAGAGACTGTTCCAAATGGGCTAGAGACTGCTTCAGCCACCACCGCGACACCCGACCCGGATAGAACTGCCCTTCCTCTTTAGGACACCATATGTAGACGGGAAGAATACTACCCTCCTTAGCAGCAGCTGCTAAAGCAGGATTGTCCTCAATTCTTAGGTCCCTTCTAAACCAAACTATGGTCTTACTACTACTACCCATGTTGCATAATTCAGCTACTTTAAGCTTCAAAATGATACATCAAAATTTAAGTTCTCTATTCTTTCTTTCCTTATTTCAACTAAAAACACTAAATAAAGTTCTCATGATGCTAAATCTGAGAAACCCATGAAGCAATTTGAAGTCCCAACTCTTTTACTCTTCTCCACAAGATCCAAAATCTTACCAACAAAAGGATTCTAATATTTTATACCCAATTAAGGATTCCCACTAAAAAGCTCAAAACTTGATCCACCATTGACAATAAAGCTCTAGAACTGCAGAAGGAAAAAAAGAAAGTCAACGCAAACCAGTAGATGGAACTTCCTCAAAAAATACTGAAATTATGAAACTTTTTTTTTTGTCTTCCATCTTTAGTTCACCAGGAGCTTTCAACAAACAGTTCTCTTTCTCTCCACTCTGGAATTACAGATCAGAGTTGATCATGTGACTGTGTACAATGGATCTGAGACAAACCCCAAGATATAATATACTCAATTATGCGTATTAAAGAATATTATCCATAAAGACCAAGAATATCTAGGAAAAATATAAAACCAAAAGAAGAAGAGAATATAACCAGACAAAAACAGCCTTCACAACACTCAAACAAAAACAAAGGAAAAAAAGAAAAACTCTGGCTGATCAGAAGCAGATGAGGATTCGAGAAGATAACAAAATACCAAAGTTTGCCACCAACCAAAGAACTCCTCCCATGTAGTATCTTTTCATGCTTTGCTCGGACATGGGCAAAAAAGATATATATGATACATCAAAAAAAAAAAACATCTACTTAGATTATTTCTATGCAAAATCTACAGGGCATGTTTTTTATTTTTTTAACTAAGAAGGGTGAATGAGGAAAATGAGTTTTTGGTGAGTATGGAATCCATTTGTATGTAGTAATGTCAGGTCACGTGGACGAGTTGAAAGTGATATTTGTTATTGTGGTGGAAAAACACTTTCTGGTAGCTTCGGTGAAGTGCCCACCGTGAAATAGATAAGACCTTTCCTTTCACAAACTGACATAATACATGAATCTACCATAAGTGGCACATGGTAATTTGCTTGTAAAGAGTATTTAGTTGCCTTAGTTTTTTTTTTTGGACAAATTTTATAAATTCCCCTTAAATTTTATTGTCAACATGCGGCTTAAATTTTAAAGTATTCATATGGTGCCTCCTCAATTTATTATTTGTGTCAACATGTTCTTTAAGGTTAACTCTGTTAAATTTTTTAACAAAAATGCATTTAAATACCCTCGAACTTTATCACTAGGGCTATCATGGATTAAGTTGGTGTAAGATAAGACTTTTTATTATCTCGCCTCAAAGGGTACGGGTTGCACATATTTTTAGCCCCAATGATATTAGAAAAATTTCACAACCCAATGATATTTAGGTTGGGTTGGAGCAGGGTGGGTTGGGTGGTCGGATTCATCATTCAAAGAATCATAATTCAATCAAATATTCAAAGGTCATCATCAAATAGAAATAATAACTCCAACATTTAAAGTTCATCATCAAATAATATTGACCATCAAATAGAACTAATATTGATAATTAAACATAACTCTAATATTCAAAGTTCATCATCAAATAGAAATAATACTGATTAGTCCATCATCAAATAGATAGTAATTCAAAGTTCAATCCAACATCAAACATGAAGCAAAGTAGTTCATCCAACATCAAACATAAAGCAAACATAAATTAGAGGCTTAATTCAAATCCATCCAAAGCAAGCACTGCAACAACAAGCATCATTATCAATCCACACTCATAGACTCCTTATCAGGCATGTTTGTGCGGGTTGGGTTGGGGTGTGCAGGTTATTATAGGCCCAACCCACAAACCGTCCCAAACACATTGTGCCAGACATTTAGTGGGCCCAAAAATAAAAAATAATGTTATACGTTGCCTTTTTCTGGTTGGATTGGGGTGGGATGGGTTAGGTTTGCGGGTTGTTCAGATTTATGTACAGCCATATTTGTCACTTGGTTAATATGCCTCATGAAATTTAAAATGTACATGTTTTGCCCTCTGAACTATGATATCTCTCCAATTTTTTTCCGCTCATTTTGATTTTATCAGCTTTGTGAACGAAAATATTGATATGACCATCAAATTGCTAATTATTTATGATATTTGACCATTAAAATTTGTTAAGTTAATGGGTTTCTTAAGGTTTGTGTTGTTGTTTTTTTTTTAAAAGGTACAATAAAATAAATGACATGAACGCATTTAGATTTAGAAATGTTATATATGTATAAAGCATAAACATGCTTTATGTTGAGCACTTCTATATAGGTGAAATATTAAGAAAAAAATTAACAAAATTCACTACATTATACTGATTTACTCCTCATTTTTTTTCGTCTAATCAACTAATGTTTTGAGAATTGGTGCTTCACTAACATTTTTAGAGGAGAATGTATTTAATAAACCTCAAATATTATAGATAATTAGCAATTTAATTGTCATATCAACATTTTCGTTCAAAAAACAAATAGAATCAAGATTGAGGAGAAAAAGTTGGAGACGTATCATAGTTCGGAGGGCAAAACGTGTACATTTTAAAATACAGGGGGCATATTAACACAAGTGACAAAGTTCAGGACGCATTTATAAGCATTTTCGTTAAAAAACTTAACGAAGTTAACCTCAGGGGATATGTTAACACAAATGACAAAGTTCAGTTAACACAAATGACAAAGTTCAGTTAGCACAACATGCACATTTAAAAATTCAATAGCATGTTAACTCAAATAATAAAGTTATGAAAAAATTTATAAAATTTGTCCTTTTTTCCCAAAGGATAGATACACACGAATACCAATAACCTTGTAGATGTAGTATATGAGATTAAACCCTTAATTAAGACCAGATTCATTAGTGAAATTTAACGTAACTCAAGAAGGAAGACGCATGTAAAAACTCGATAAAAAAAAGTTCCTTGACACCTCAATAATGAAGCACACATAAAAGCTTAGTTTATGGTAGGACACATTGTCTTGTCATATCACGAGTAATTTTTTTAAAGTTCTAGATTAAATTTTTATGGCATGTTTTACTAGTACGAACACTTTGTGTTTCATAGTGTATTATTTTTAATGGGGTCAAATCAGAAAGTTACAAATTAACCAAATAATAAAAACAATCACTCTAATGAAATTACAAAACAACGGTCCCTACAAATTACAACTATTTAAAAAACACCAAGCCGAGCCGACATAGAATTTCCAATTGAGATTATATTTTGAGAAGAAAAAAAAATCTTTAGTAGGCCATCAAAAATCACTTTAGATAGTGTTTTATTGCAGTGCATACATACTATTTGATTATGACATTTCTTTCTTTTTGTTAAGAATATAAATGTATATTATAAATAGAGACTCATAAAAAGATAAAATAAAGTAAAATAAAATAAACAAGTCTGACAAAGAAAATATGATTAGCAAATATATTGGGTATGTTACATGCTAATTACATTAGTACTAATTAGATTAAGAAAAGATATCTGCATTAAAATAAAATGATGGTTCAAAAGTATTTTATTACTATACTTTATACTATATAAATTTGATCAGGAATTCTTATCTAACACCGTTAACTTTTGAAATGGTATTTTAAGTAAATATAATCTTAAAACACTGCTAATTCTTAATAAAGTTGAGTTGGGATTTTTTTTTAAAAGACTATAAGAAAAGACAAGATTTACCATTAAACAAAGATGAAGAAGGACATTAAAGATATAGGTACAAAGATTAGGTAAGTAGCTGTATATCCATGAGAATCCAACGACAAAGGCACATGTGATATATAGCTTTACAACACATGGTCGTGCCCTAATTGCTTTTTTATATTTGGAGACGTTTAGTTTATGTATTTAAAATTATGATTTAAAATTATTTTCATTTTACGTGTATTTTTTATGAGAGAATATATTATAAAAAATTATGAATTATGATTTAGAATCAAAAATGAATATATTGTAATTCTAAATATAGAAAGACTTTCAACAACAGTACAAGAACATGTGCATTTTTTTTTTGGGGTTCTATTCACGTGGCCCAGTATATAATATTACACTCATTCCTGATTCTGTTTCCAAATTCAGGAAAAGACTTTTGGTTTTCTTTAGTTTTGTTGGGAAAGCCGTACAATCCGTCTTTTGATAGAAAAATGTGCAAGATAACAAGAAAAATGAAAAAGACAATCCACAGAGGTTTTTAGGCACCTGTGGTTTTTCATTTTAAGAAATTTTTAGTATATTTAGGCTTTAGCGGCTCCTAAAGTATTTTCAAGACATAAATCTCGTTTATTTTACCGATTCGAGTTTAAAATTTGAGTTTTGTTACAGTAAAAAACTTTCAGAAATAATCATATCTAAGTTTTTTATTACAGTAAAAATTCTAACATAAAGTCACATCTAAATTTAAATTAAAAACTCAAATCAACAAACTAAACACTCATAATATATAAACATTTTTTGAGGTAATTAAATGCCTGGATTTCTTGTTTTCTTAAATTTCTTTTATTTTTGATAAACAGAGTAATAGCTGCCTTAACTCCAATGATCAGTAAAATCCAATTTTGATAATTTTGTACGTGATGTTATGACTCGTTTAGTTTTTTTATTTAAATTTTTAATTTAAGTTGATATTTAATTTTATGTGAAAATTTTTAACTGTAATAAAAAAATTAAATATAATTACTTTTGAGAATTTTTTACTATAATAAAATTCAAATTTTAAATTTAAATTAATAAAATAAATGAGTTCAAATGTGTAGTTCTTTGTATTTTTTTTTTTCGCTAGAAAGATTGTGTAGTTCTTTGTTGAGCCATAGTGTTATCATTATGGAGCAATTATCTTTCTTCCATTCAAAGAAAAAACAGAAAAGAACAAAAGAAAAACAGTCAGCCGACATATTTGACCAAGCGCGGTTTCCCAAGCTTCCTTCATCACCAAGGTTTGAGAGCACGCCCAAGAAAAAAAAATGGCAAACGGTGACTTGGCTAATTTTCTCAGGTAAAATAATAGCATTATAAATATGAAATTTTAAAATATTTACAATAAATAACATGCCTGCGGTAAATTATTTACAAAGTAAATATATAAGATAAATTCACCGTAAATATGGTTTTGTAAATGAATCATTTACCCTACTATTTACCATAAATATTTTCAAATGCACAATTTATTATAAATATTTTCAATTTGTTATAAATATTTTTAGAAAAATAATAGTTAAATTATTCTCCCTTTTATAAGGACCAGGAAAATAGTTCACATATAATAAAAATACCTCATCGATAGCAGATAATTCTGAACAATTCAAATAAAATCATAATTATATTAAATTAAAAAAAATATGATAATTTATCAAAACTATTGATGATTTGAAACTGTCCAAGAAAAAAAAAATATATATATATATATATAATTTTTTTCATGCTGAATTCTCACAAAAGAAACCACTTCGCTCAAAAAATGGACACTTTTCCGGACTTGAAACTTTTGGTTGTTAAAAACATCATCAAAGAACCCCAAAACAGTGAAAATGGGACCTGAATGTCCCGTTTAAAACTCATTTTAAAATAATTTTATTTTTTGTACGAAAATAAAAATAAAAACATTTTTAATCTCAGACAGTGATCATTTTTATAAATGCGTTTAATAATTTTATTAAAAAATTATTTTCAGTGTAAAAAAATCTATTAATGTCTCTCTTTCTCTCTCTCCTCGAGAGAAGAGAAATCAAAAAAAAAAATAAAAAATAATTAAAAATCATTTTTCATTTCTCTCTCATTTTATACTAAACTAAAAAATTATTTTCAGAAAAAAAAATAAAAAATGATTAAAAATTATTTTTCATTTCTCTCTCATTTTATACTAAACTAAAAAATTATTTTCATTGCCGTAAAAAATAAAAACGGGATCAATTCTAAACAAGGTCAAAATCTGTCCACTTGAGATGGAAAAAACAGAAAAGTGTGTCCACTTTGTGCAACAGAAAGCATATCACAGGCTAAGGTGTTCATTCTGTCAATCACCAAAGCAAAAAAGAAGAAAAAGGAACAAAAAGAGAAAACAGGATCTGGTTCACTAGATTGAATCTGGATGTAGCAGCCAATAATAATAATAATAATAATAATAATAATAAGCAGGCAAAGTTGCAAAATAGCAACATATGGTGAAGTTATAAATGGATGCTAGGAAATGCTCAGTGATAGGATAATAGGAGTAAAATTATCAATCTTAATATCCATCACCATAACATACCCAATATCACCTGAGAAGCATCATGGCAATGAAGAAGCCCCAAAATATCCCTGCAAAGGGTAAATAACCAGGAGCCCCCTAATCAGCCTTCCCAAGGTGCTGATTATTTAGTAATTAAGCTATATGAAATTTGTACAACTACAGAAAATCAGAAACTGATTAAAAAAAGGAAAGAGCATTCCTTTTTTGTTGCTAGAAGGAATTCCCGAGGGACTTCTTTCCAGATGACAAACCATTTAAGTGTTCAATGTGCCCGGTCTCGGAGGACTTCAAGATCCATCTCAGTTGGATCAGTTGCCTGGATCTCATAGTGAATTCCATCCAGCTCCCTTCTGAACTTGTCCTTTGATGTTGCGTAAAGCATCTTAGCACGGATCCTCGATACAGACGGTGACCTAGAATCAAAGTTTTACAAAGGCAAAGCCATGAGTGAACGTTCACGAGAATTCCCAAATAACGCAATCACTGAGTTAGGATGATTCCACAGGCAACTGAACAGCTTAGAATAAAAATAATATAGTTCGTCCAAACGTGAAACGACATTGAGAAAAATTAAGGACAAAGAGCCTAAGCAAAGTATTAGTAATTAATAACAATAGCACTCCCTCACCAAAACGAATGTATTACCGCAGCAACAATACTCCAGGAAAAGTAAGGAAGATCAAGGGCGGGAAGAAGTAAACAGGAAGCGGAGAGCCGTCCTGTTGCCACCATCAGGCGAATATAACAAGAACATTTGTTATCTTTCCAACAAGAATAATATCTGAATCTGACAGCAATCTATTGGCAATCATTTTGTATCCCTAACACGCTAAACAAGAGCAACATGCAAACTCTAATTTAGATACTTCCAGCACTAAACAACCATATATTTTAAAACTCAGAAACATGACCAAACAAGACTGAGGAAACCAATACCAACCAAAGGCATGAAATAGAGAGAGGCAGATGACAATTCAGAAGGGTTTTCAACGTCCTTTCCTTTGCTACGAAGTTATATGACAAAGGATCAGAACTGTCTGTCCCAGCATGCCAATTTACCAACAACAAGTAAAGCACACAGCCAAGATATTCATGGAACAAAGGAAACAGATTTAATCTTGTAGATAGAATCAATCAAGTACTACACGGGAAATGGAAGATTACATTAATGCATATCAAAGAATTGGAAAACCACTAAATGCACGATCCGAGTGCTCATTAAGACAATTAGCAAAGAGATATCAACTAATAACTTCAGTGTGTGAAAGTCCTACTGAAGCTTCTAGCACAAACAACAGCCTGAATTTATAATAAACACAAATGTAAGGCGCAAAATCAATAACATCGTCGACTAATTAGATAATTGGTCAAAAAGGAGTTTGATTAATCAATTGCAACTGGACAAAGACACACAGCCTATTAGTTCTGAATCTAGCTACTGCAAAAGAAACTAACCATGCAATGAAAAAGATTTTGCTCTTTTGGCAATTCTCCGAAGTAACGAAATCAAAGTCATAAACCGCGTATCGACAATCATTCTCGGGCAATGAAGCAGCAAAATCATCAAAGCTTTCAGCCGGGCCTCCGGTTTTCTCGACCATGACCTCTTTTTTCTTTTCATCAATCTTGAAAATCACATAGCGGAAAACTTTCTTCCTCTGCAGCTCGAGGAACGTGCTCTTACTGTGATCAGCAACACCCATGCCAGACGAAGCATTTCCCTTCAACAAACAAACCCAGTTTTCAATATTTTCTAAAGCCAAAATCAACGCAAACACAACTAAAAATCACCCCCATTATTGTCTCTGTATCAGTTGCTTGCACCTAACAAATTTACCAAACTACATTTTTTAATCAACAACAAGAGATTGAAAATTTTGAAATTATTTCTAAAGGAATATAAAAAGAAAAATTCTAAAAACTGAAGTGCGAAAAAAAGAAACTAACAGAATCTAGAATTCAAGCTTGAAAATTTTCAGTTCCGCATAAACTATAATCAATTTATTAATCACCGAATCACGGACATATGAAAGCAAATGAAACTGTCAAATTTGACTGAAACCACAATTTCAGCTCCGAATTTAGCGAATAATATATACATTGGAGTTAACAAAAATCAAATATCCCAAACAACCCATACTCGAACAAAGATCAAGCAATCGCTGAATCAAAAGGGACAGAAAATAAGAAAACCTAAAAGGTCTAAACGACCCAAACATGAAATCAGACGATAATTACACTTGAAAACGTTACCAAAAAAAAAGAACTAAGACAGATCTCCATTAGAGAAGGAAGAAGCGTACCCCTCTGAAAGCCATGCCTGGCCCGATCGCCAATGGAGAGAGAGAGAGAGAGACGGAAGTGAAAAATTTGAGAAAGAGAGAGAGAGTGGAGAAGAAAGAAGGAGAAAAAGCAGCCACCGAAAAAAAAAAAAGAAAAGAAAAAGAAAATCGGAATTAGTAGAACAGTGCGAAGAAGAAAAGAATTTCGTGGTTTGAAGGAAAAGAAATAATAGAGATTAAAAAAAAACCAATAAAAGTTTTTTTTTTAGAACAGTGTACGACGTCGTATCTATCTCTTCCTTTTTTTATTTCGACACAGATCCTAAACTCATGCATGTTTGAAACCTTTTTTAAAACGATTTTCACGTATTTTAAAAGATAAAAAATAAAAATAAAAATAAAATGATGTTTATTTAATAAATATTTTAAAAATATAAATATAAATATAAATAGCGGGAATAATTTTTGTGAAAGAATTAAAAAATAGTTAAAAAATTATTTTTAACTTTTAGTATTTATTAAAAATATTATAATATATTAATTAATAAATATAATTTTATTTTTTTATTATATTCAAAATAATTTCTTAAAAAAATTAACCAAACACAATTTCAGAATCAATTTTAAAATAATTTTTAAAACAATCTCATTTTTATTTTTTATTAAAAACAAAATTATTTTAAAATTAATTGTAAACGCTCTATATGTTTTTCTCATATGTGTAATAAGATTACCGGGAACGTCGGGACTTTGAAAATCATTGACAATTTAGTGGATTATAGACTGTAGAAAAGAGGACTTCGAGGATTAGACACCGTAGGATTGGAATTGAGTGGCTGTGATATTCGTCAGACGTGTAGATGTTCGGCCTCTTGTTCTCATTGTGACACGCAATAAGCCTTTCGAGTTTCGGCCTTGAAGGCCTTGGTGGAGCCTCGAATCCATGTAGTTTGGTTTTTGAATGATGGAAGTGATATGTTTGAGAGAAATAAAAATTTAGTGGCATTTATCCCCACCAAAGAGCTAGAGAGGCCTACTCTTTGTTGACCTGAAGTAATGCACTTTAACATCTTCTATTTGAGGCCACGTTCACTTTACCGATTCGAGTTTAGAATTTAAGTTTTGTTACAGTAAAAAGTTATCAGAAACAGTCATATTTAACTTTTTTGCTACAGTAAAAAGCTCTCACATAAAATCACATCTCAACTCGAATTACAAACTCAAATCAGCGAAGTGAACGGGCCCTCAATGCATCACTTTGTCAAAGGATTTCAACCCAATTTCTCCTTTAAGACTCCAATAGGGCTAGTTTTTATTTTTTTTCTTATCTTATTAGAGAAACTTCTTAAAAATAAAAGATAAATAATTAGACTTCATAACTGCTACTAGACCTATCTAAGAGAATGCAACAAACCTATCTACAAGGCTTAAGGATTGTGTCCCACTGAGCCTTACTATTAGGAACTTATATTGACACCCAAATTTTCATTAAGACACCAATTTTTTAAATACTAATTTTATAAATGTCCTCCAAACTATAGATTTATGTTAATTTGCCCTTTAATTTTAAAATGTGATCATTGCATCCATCCAACTACATAAAAGTGTTTACTCAAAAAAAAAAAAAAAAACCCTACATAAAAGTGTTCAAAACAGAGAGCGTGTTTGGAACCGTTTTTGAAAATGGTTTTCACGTTTCGAAAAGTAAAAAATGAAAATGAAAACGACACGACGTTTGTTTAGAAAATGTTTTGAAAATGAAGACAGTGAGAATGGTTTCTTGAAGGAATTAGAAAACACTTGAAAGTTGTTTTCACTTTTCTGTTTTTATTTTTTACTGCTTATCAATAAAATTATAATATATTAATTAATAAACACGATTTCACTTTTTTATTATACTCAAAACAATCTCTTAAAAAACTAATCAAACGTAATTTTGAAATCGGTCACAAAACAATCTCATTTTTACTTTTTATTGAAAATAAAATCATATGATTCTCAAAACAATCTCCTTTTTACTTTTTATTGAAAACAAAATCATATGATTCTCAAAACAATTTCATTTTTACTTTTTATTGAAAACAAAATCATTTTGAAACTAATTCTAACGCACCCCGACATTCCTTTCTAATTTCTCAACAAACTAACAAAATGGTTGACTTGACACCAGTACTGGAACTTTGGGCCGGCGGGCCTGCCCGAAGCCCAAATTTTTTAGACTCGGCAGGCAGGCCCATAAGGTCGCCCGTTCAAGCAAGATTTCGGGCTCAGGCTCGGGCTGCCCGAGAAAGGTCAGAATCGCTAAAGCCTGTTGCCGAACGAAAGCCCCCGACTATCGACCGCCGAAATTTTTTCCCTCCGGCCCGAATTGCCCGATCAATGGCTAATTTTTTGACCGTTAGCGCCCGACCCGAACCGCATCTCGAAAGCTCGACCCACAGCGGCTCTTTTTTTGAACGTTGCCTGATTTCAGCCCGAACCCGCCCGAAACCCGACCCGCAGACCAAAAATAACCGTTGGATTCGAATTTGGGGAAAAAAATCAATTTTTTAACCCAAAAATTTTCCCATAAATACTCCTCATCCCCTAAACATTTTTCTCCCAAATTTCCCTATTTAAATTGTGATTTCTAAACATTTATTTACTTTGGACATTGTAATTGTAATATTTAGACTTTGTAAGTTTGTAAAATTTATAATTCGTAACAAAATGATTGTCCCCCTTTTTTCTTACCAAGTTTTTCCATATTGTGTTTTTCTTGGTAAGGTTTTTAACAGGCAATCATGAATTAAAAATTTAAAAATTAATATACAAAATTAATTCCTTAAATTGTGTTAATAGTGTGTGTTGATTTTAATTTTTATATAATTTTAACACAAAATAACCTAATAATTATTTATATACAAATACAAATAATAAATAATAGTATATTATATATAATATGTATACAATATTATAAAAAATTTAAAAATATAATAAAAAATATTTTTTTGGGCACTTCAGGCGGACTGAGGCTGCCCGATTGGGCTCAGGCAGCCAAAACCAAGCCCGCGGCCCATTCATAGGCCTTCTCAAGCTCGGGCGGACTGCCCGAAAATTTCAGGCGGGCGGGTTTGGGTGTCGGGCTCAACTTTAATTTTTTCGGGCAGTCGTCGGCGGTCCGTCTAAAATTCCAGCACTACTTGACACGTTCAAAACAGACAATCGAGGTGTGAAAAAAAAAGATAACAATTAATTGCCTTATCATTATCATTATTGTTGTTGTTACTGCATCTGTTATTATTATTGTTATTATTATTATGAGTTGGAAGATGAGAGTTGTCCTCTACACCTTAACCTAGGATTAAGTGAATTTATCGCTAGATATGCCTGCAACCTTAATATAATTGTCTATTGATCATTGATGCTTGACATCTTGGTACACTTCATAGTATTTAAAAAAAAAAAAAAAAGCCTTTTTGGTAAACTACTTTCTCCCTGGTCTCAAGAGGCCCCGCGTTGTTGTGCACTGTTAGCTTAGGGCATCCCTAATTCAACATCAAATATACACGATAAGTCAAAATTTGGCATTTGATTTTTTTTTTACTTAATAATTACTATATTATTAGTTCAAATTATTTACAAATTAAAAAAAAAACTTTTTAAATTAAGTTTTTTATTTGAAAATTATGAAATTTCATTAAATAACAGAGCAAACAACAAAAAAATAATTGACACAAATAGTCTTTAAACTATTTAATAAGTGACAATTTAATTCCTATTTTGTTAATTTTAACGAAATCATCCTCAAACTCTCAAATTATTAGTAATTTAACCCTTTTTGTTAAAATCTGTTAAATTTTTTACAGAATCACGCACGTGATGTCATATGAACCTCTTTTTAATGAAGATATATATTCAATTTAAATTTAAAATTTAATTTTTAATATAATAAGATTTTTTTAAAAATATTCCGATCTAACATTTTTACTGTAACGAAAATTCTTAAATAAAATAACATCCCAACAAACCAAACGGAATGCCCCAGAGTTCACACCTCTTTTTGCCCTTTCCTTCTACAACTTCGTAAAAAACCCGTCTCCTTCCTATAACCGATCCGCTGCCTCCAGATCCGCCAGCACCGGCGCTGCTGCAAGCGCAGCCACCATCGAGCGCAGG